CTGAGATGGGAATCACTTCTTTAAACTTGGCTGTTTTTGTTAGAAATTCCCTGTGTTTTCGTGGTTGTGATAAAGCAGGATCATACTCTAAGCATCCAATGACGTCCATTATACATTCCTCAGAGAACATAACTTCAAAAAGAGCAGTTCTATTCAAGAGGAAGATGCCTTTGATAATTTCATACAAGTGGTGTAGTCCTTCTGTATTTTCCAAGTCTTCACACACATGAAAAAGCTCTAAGAGCTTTTTAATATAACCCTCATTTTCCAGTGCTAGTGCAAGTTTTTCACGACGAAGGGGAGAAGGTAAAGATGATGCCACCAGCTCTGCAATTTCCTCGAGGCGACTTAATTCACAAGATGGCAATTCTAAACCTGGTGATGACATATCATCAAAACGCTCCTCTTCAGATTCATCCACAAGGTCCTGAGTGATATCCACTGAAGGGTCCTTTCCTTGAACCTATTAAAAAGAAGTTTTACAGTTGAAAATATAAACGGCCAGATCTTAACGATATTCTTAAATGAATTAAAGAGAAGCGATGAGTTCAAAGCTCAGAACTGGAATGAATTCCAAGGTTTACCAACAAGAAAAACATTCTGGGTTAGGGTAACCTAGATGTCTTTATGAAGAAATGCTCTATGCAGAAGCCTAATGGGAAAATGCAAGCATATATCCCCCTCTTTCCATAACTAACAAGACATTTAATGTCAACTGAGTCTAGAAACTGAGAACCAAAAAGGAACATGTACAAAGTGGTTTTTGACCAAAGATAATGCAAATCCTGGATAAGTGTAAAAATATAAGGCAAAGATGGATAGGAAACAAGTACATATATAGAAAAATGAAACTATATGAAATAAATGAATCCTATACATACTGTTGTTATCTAGCTGGAACCGACTCATAGCTGACTCTCTAGCAGGTTTTCAGAGGCTTTAAGTTGCATGGGAGGAGACTGCACCACTCTTTCCATCGGAGCAGCTCATGGATTCAAACAGTCTGCCTTTGGGTTGGTAGCATAACTCCTTACCATTAAACAACTGGAACTGTCTATACATACTACTGTGTACTGCTGAGTTGGAATGGACGTACAACAGATTCTTCAATGGGCTTTCAGAGACAGTTAACCACATGGGAGAGTCTGCAGAGCAGCTGGTGGATTCAAACCATGTGCTTTTGGGATTGTAGAGCAGAGCTCCTCTATACATATTAGAGATATGCCAAGCATAAAAAATGAACTATGGAAAAATTTTCTTTTCTAGACACTTTAATCAGTAGCTTCCACCATGTTCCAGAAGATCTAAAGTAGAGCACTCCAACTTTATCCCAATATAAAGGCTCCAGAAGGAAAAAGATCACTTAGAAATCTCAGCAGAAAAAGAAATCTAGGCAATCAAATATATTTTTAAGATAAAAGTGTATTTTTACAAAAGGTCAAGATTTTGGACTGGAACCAGCTCTGTGATCTTGGCCCTACAATTTGAGACTATGACCTGTAAAGCAATCTAATAGGCCATGTAAAGGTAAGGACAAATTGAGCCCTAAACAACCAAGAAACGGAATCAGCTAGCCAATACTAAATAATAATAAATTAATGGAAGCAGTAGTGGCATCCACTTCCTAAACAACATGCCTCCAGAAACTCTATGAACTTTGATAAATGTTCAGAGTTGTAGAGGGGCTTCAGGCCTTTTTTCCACAGGGTCACTATAACTCATGCTCGACTCAAAGGCAATCAACAGCAACAATGGAAGAAAAGAAGGTCCACAACATCTGTCTTGAAACTCCCTGTCAGATGATGTAGGCAGCAGCTTGCAAGAGGGCCAGGCAGACTCACAGCTTGTGTCTGGCAATGTCTCAAGTGGCCCTAGATGTATGAATTATCCAAGTTCTCATTATATAGCTTTAGATCTCTAATGCCTAAATTATCGCATTACTTATATAAGAAAATAAAACTAAAAGGTTTTATTATAATGAGAATACATCATCTACTCCAGGTAATACAAAGAAACAAACCTAACACATTTTGGTCTATATGAAGGCTGGCTAAGAAGGTAATAGAAAACAGGCCTGTACCAAAAGCAATCTACCTAGTCAACATAATTCCAGTACAGATAACATTCATTTTTCCAAAGAGCCAGAAGAGACAATAGGCAAATTTATTTGGAAAGGAAAGAGATTCTGAATAAGCAAAGCACTTATGAAAAACAATGAAGTGGGAGGCAGAGCACTCTCGAATCTCAAAACCTTCTATATAGCCATAATCAGCAAAACAGCCTGGTACTGTTACAATGCACACACACAGACCAATGGAACCGAATTAAAAACCCAGAAATTAACCCACTAGCCAACTGGTACTCAACAAGGAAACAAAACATTCCAATAGGAAAATTCAACCTCTTCAACAAGTGGTGCTGGCAAAACTCGATTTCTGCCTGCAGAAAGCTAAAGCAGGATCCCCATCTCACTCCATACACAAAGATGAATGGATCAGAGACCTACG